CTAAAATATATTTAAAATGTTCGGAATAGTTAAACGAATATTTAAATTAAAACTTAAATGAATTCCAAATGCAAACCATTATTATACCCTTGCAGAGGGTATTATAATTTTGGTCAAAAGTATGGAACTCAGTGAAGGAGACATCTCCGACCCTATAAAGTATATATATTCTTGATCAGGATCACCTCCTGAGTTGATATAGCCATGTCCGTCTGTCCGTCTGTCTGTCCGTCTGTCTGTTTCTACGCGAACTAGTCTCTCAGTTTTAAAGATATCGAATTCAAACTTTGCACACACCCTTCTTTCCTTTGCACGCAGTATATAAGTCGGAACGGCCGACTATATCCTATAGCTGCCATATAACTGATTGATCGGAAATGGCATAACTCTGCTGTTTGTTAAATTAGGAAGTTGGGACTTTCTATGGGTTTTATATTTGGCCAATCAATCCGACGTACCAAATTTCATAAGGATCGGCCGACTATATCCTATAGCTGCTATATAACTGATTGATCGGAAATACCATAACTTTGGTGATTGTAAAGTTAGGAAGTTGGGAATTTCTATGGGTTTTATTTATGGCCACACAATCCGACATACCAAATTTCATAAGGATCGGACGGCTATATCATATAGCTGCTATATAACTGATTGATCGGAAATGCCTTAACTTTGGTGTTTGTTAAGTTAGAAGGTAGGGATTTTCTATGGGTTTTATTTTTGCCCAATCAATCCGACATATCAAATTTCATAAGGATCGGCCGACTATATCCTATAGCTGCCATATAACTGATTGATCGGAAATGAAATAACTTTGGTGTTTGTAAAGTTAGAAAGTTGGGATTTCCTATGGGTTTTGTTTTTGGCCAATTAATCCGACCTACCAAATTTCATATGGATCGGCCGACTATATCCTGTAACTGCCATATAACTGAACGATTGGAAATGCCATAACTTTGGTGTTTTTAAAGTTAGGAAGGTGGGATTTTTTATGAGTATTAAGAATGCATCATATGAATAATTTTGGAGAATATAATTTGCAGAATATTCTAGCTTTCCTTTCTTGTTTTTTTTTTTTTTTTTTTTGCTTTGCTAATTATTTATTGAATCTTCTCCTTTAGGAGAAGTGTATCACATCTTATAGTAATCTTACTAACAGTCATATGACTGGTACTGAGTAATGCGGCCCTGAGAATTATTGCTGGGTTGGAAGGTCGTTGCGTTGTAGGCGGATTCTGCTGGAAATCCGAGACAAGCCTCTTGCAAAATGATTTGGGTGCACGGAGAGTTTTTCTTTGTAGGTCGTCTTTTGTTTTTCTATTTCATCTTTTACTACAAGAATACCGAGGTTTTGTGGATGTTTTGGTTGCGAATATACCACAGTGCCCCAGTGATAGTCCTCAGGATTTTCGATTGTGCGCGCTATATGATGTCAATGTTGCTGCTGCTCGCGTTCCCCCATAGCTGGGAGCCATATGTCCAGATAGGCTTGAGAGTAGAGTTGTAGAACAGGACTTTGTGTAGTCCAGACACAAGGGCGATCGAATGTTTATTATCCAGTGGAAGCTGCTGGCTTTTAGTTTTAGATGTAGTTTCTTGCATTCGATGTGTCTTCTCTGGTTAGTCGTTTGTCGAGGTGGACGCCAAGAGCCTTTTTCTGTTTCAGATCCCCGATGACTTCCGCGATCTCTTTTGGATGAAGCAATGTTGGTAAAGATATAGTTTCAGATTCGATTTGTGGTACGAGAAATGGACCAGTGGCAGGGTTCGGCTGGAAAACGCCTTGGAGATGTGAAGCAAAAGTTTCGGCTCTATTTTCGTCGCTGCGGGCCCAGCTACCTGATGGGTTTCTTATTGGAGTGACTTTTTCGATTGGAGAGCTCAGATTAGGGTGGAGGATGACTGGTTGGCGAAAGTTTTCCGATGTACCGCAGTTGTGAATTTTCAGTGTCTTTCTTTAGGGCTCGGTTTAGTGTGCAAGTTGCTTCCTTAAGACGTTGTTTTGAATATGGCGATCTATTGGTTTCCCAAGCACGTATTTTTCAGTACAAGCTGTTCCAATTGCACGTCCTTCAATTGTGGTATTGAAATAGTGGCTGCTGACACGAGTACATCTTCAAGAGCACCGGTGGACCAGTCGATGTCCGCTTCGATGTTGAGCTGCGGGGTTAGTTCGATGTGAGAACTTACATACATTTTATATTTTAACCAGTTTGTTCTGTGCGATGTCAGTCTCTGGGGGTGATCTGTAGGTTCTGGGCTTTGAAGAAGAGTCATTAGCACTGGCTGAAAGGTCCAAATGAAAGGTCTAAAAGCGCTTTGGCGCTTATTATATTGCGTGGAATGTTTTTTTTCACCGCAAAATCTATTAAGTCTGGGACTTTTCTCGGGTCTGCTGTCCAGTAAGTGGGACTACCAGGGTAAAGATAGTTCAATTTGCTGCTCACTTTTATAATTGCATTATATAATTGCCCTCCTTTGGGAGTCTCGAGTCGTGATCACCAGTGCGTATCTTTGGCATTATAGTTTTCTGCTGCTATGAAGCGATCTCCAAGTAAGTTGAAACGAGGACAGAAGCTAACTTCGGCAAGCCGAAGTTTTAATACCCTTGCAGACTTTGCCGAAATTGCTAAAACTGAAAAAGTAGCGAAAGGAATAAGGTATACATAAATAAACTATATTTGCATCGTTTGATGTCAATTGCTTTTATACTGCAAAAATGTCATATAAAAATAGAAAAAAAGGGATACTTTCGCGCTTTTACCCTGATCAAGGTATGCATAAAAAAAAACGATTTGGAAAGATTCATGTAAATAGCTTATATACTGTGCGAAATATCCCAAAATCATTAAATTTTAACCGATTTCACCCTATTGTTCCTATGGGAGCTATAGGATATAGACGTCCGATCGCTAAGAGCTTTTACCCTGATCAATCTATGCATAAAAAAATACGATTTGGAAAGATTTATGTTTATAGCTTTTACACTGCGCGACATATCTTCCATTCTTGCAAGTTATATCCGATTGTTCCTATTGGAGCTATAGGATATAGACATCCGATCGGGGCGGTTTCAAACTTGATCTGCGTACACAAAATTTAGTACGACTGTGTAAGTTTCAGATCGCTAGCTTTTATACTGAGTTCGCAAACGGTATTGAAACAGACGGACGGACGGACAGACAGACATGGCTATATCGACTCCCCTATTGATCCCTATTGACCAAGAATATATATACTTTATGCGGTCGGAAACGTCTCCTTCACTGCGTTACAAACTTCTGACCAAAATTATAATACCCTCTGCAAGGGTATAAAGATCCATGATTTGTCTTTCAGAAATTGTAAAGCGAGGCGGGCAGTAGACACCGGCTATTGAAAGGTGCTGACTGTGCTTTGATAGACGTGGCCTGCAAGTAATTAGTTGCAAGCCTTTGGTAACTGTGGTGTTTGATGCGTTCTATGATTTGGATGCCGGTTTAGCCGTGGGCTTTACCGTCTGGTTGATCTGTGCGGTAGAAGGTGTAGCCTCTTATTTGAAAGTTGTATTTGCGTCTCTATCAGTAGATAATGATTTTCAATCAGGAACTGTGTTATTTCAAGTTTGTGCCGGGAAACGCCATTGGCGTTCCACATGGTTATTCGTAGTTTTGCCATCAATTATTTGGACTGCTTAGCTGCAAGCAACTGTAACACCATGTTCTGGTTTTGAACCAGTGTTTGCATCAGGGACTGAAGAGAACCGGTACCGGTACCGAAACCGGAAGCGGAACCGTTTCCTTTTTACGGAACCGGAATCGGAACGAAACCGAAATTTTAATTTTCGATGGAACCGGAACTGGAACCGGAACCGTTTATTTGGCATACTGTGGAACCGAAACCGGAACCGATATTCTTTTTTTGCTTTTTGATATGTAATTGAAACATGAATAAATGCGAATGATGATATATACATATGTTGTCGCAATTACTTTTCTACACGATTATACATTAAAAAAATGGAACCGATACTGGAACCGGAACCGATTTTTAATATTTTTTAGGAACCGGAACCGAAACCGGAATCGTTTTGCGATTTTTCTTTTCTTTCCGAAATTGGAACCGGAACCACTAACAGATTTTTATAGGAACCGAAACCGGAATCGGAACCGGTATTCCAATCGGTTTCAGTCCCTGGTTTGCATGGTCGTTTTCATGAGGGACATAAATTCCATCATACTTTGTTGCATAATAACTATCAGTGGGCTTTGTGACTGTCCTGGTACCAGCTGAACGTTTCCTAGATTTGACTGGAGTGGGTTTTCCGTTCTTGTTTGAAGGGCATCGGCGTATGAAAATCCCCTCTGGGATTCCCGAAAAATACTTCCGGCGTCGTTTTTGAGTAAGTGTAATCGTTTTGAGTGTTTTGGTGGCGCGTTATTGTCACTCGTCGCATGCGTTCTTTCAACTGCTTGTAGACCACACAGCCCCTGTAGTTTGCCGTGTGATTTCCGCCGCAGTTTCCACATTTCTTCTATTGGGGGTCTTCCTTGTTGGTAGGGCAATTAGGGGAATTGTGAAAGTCTCCACAAACTACACAGACTGATCGAAGTGTGCAGTATGTCCGGGCAAAGACCAATATAATCACTAAGATGCGTAACGCCCATGCATTGGTTTTGCAATATGCAGCTCGTTTTTTGGTGGCGACGAAAATTCCACTCTCTGCGCTCGCACAAAGTTGAGAGCGTAAAAATCTAAAAATAGAATTGCACGAATAAGGAAGTGCGTATGTGTGCGTATTTGTTCGAGAAGACGACTTTCGTCCAGAAATCATTTCTGGACTAAGAAACTAATTGTGTGTCAAATGAACTTCTATGATTGAACAGGATGATTATTTAAATTGCATTTATGTATATATGGCAATTAAGCTTGATGTAAAACTTTTTTATATACCTTAAATATTAATATCTGCATATTTAATTCATAGTTTCGTTTTACATATTTAAATTAAAGCTAAAAAC